TAATAATAATAATAATAATAATAATAATAATAATAATAATAATAATACAGTCAGACAACATAGGTAAATATATTTAGACATAGGACAATATTGTGAGGATTAGGTGTTCAGCAGAGCGATGGCCCGAGGGGGAAAAACTGTCCCTGTGTCTAGTTGCTTTGGTATGCAATGCCCTATAAAAGCATCCTGAGGGGAAATGTTGCAAAACGATGTGAGGGGTCTGTAGATATTTTCTCAGCCTCCTCTTATCCTGGAAATATGCAGGTCTATGGAAAGCAGGCTGGTTGCAATTGTTTTTTCTGCAGTCCTAAGTATCTGTTGGAATCTGTACCTGTCCTGTTCAGTTGCTGTACCAAACCAGGCAGTTACAGAAGTACAAATGACAGCCTCAATAATTCTACCTGTAGAACTTTATTAATAGCTCCTGGGGCAGCCTGAACTTGTTCAGTTGATGCAGGAATAACATTCTTTGTTGTGTCTCTTTAATGATGGTTCTAATGTTAGGTGTCCATTTCAAGTCCTGGAAGATTATAGAACCCTAAAACCCGAAGGATTCTACTGCTAATACTGTGTTGTTGAATAAAGTAAGAGGTGGTAGAACATGAGGACTCTTTCTAAAATCCAAAATCATATTGCAAATGACGACAAGAGACCTGGGAATAAGTGAGGTGACACAAATGCAAAAAGCTTGTTTAAAAATATTACCCATACACCTGCAAATGTTTATGGGCTATACCTAATGTTCTCTTGTTTTTTCAGACTGCCTGATTACCCCAAGTTCTCCCTCAATATGAGTAATATTTACAAAGCTCATACATATGACATCCTTAAACAGATAATTTAAAGATGCTACAGGCAAGAATAGCCTTCTATAATATTAAGCCTGAAACATAATTGTGGGTACTCTTCCTTGACCAAGTGATGTCATGTTGCCTTAATTCTGAAAAGGTAGTTAACCTGAAGTTCTCTCTCTCTCCACTCTACAAATATAGAAAGGCTTTACAAAAAAAACATAGAAGCATTCCTTCTGTTATGAGAATTTCTTTATCTCCTGCAACTTCTCTGTTGTAAGCTGAAGTAGTCTTCCATATTCTGGGCTGTTTTTTACTCACCAGATTATTCCCAGTTATGGGGGTTATGAGCATGGGGGCATTTATTTGTTCACTTTTTTACTTTAGGTGCATGCCACCCAATTCGAAAAGTTTCTCCAAAACTATTTCCATGGGCAGCTGAAATGCATGACAAGGAATTTAGAAAGATGCCTTGCCAGACCTTTGATCCATTCTAGCCTGATGCTGTCAGCACTACCATGAATGGAAATTCAGAGTTTCAGTTTGAAGTATCTCTCAGTTTTTAGTTAGAAAGTTCAGGAACTGAATTTAGAAAAATAATAAAAAGAAAAAATATATAAAGAAGCCACTTCTTTATATTTTATTAACCTTTCTTTTTTTCTTTCTTTCACTTTTAGCTTTCTCTTTGTTTTCTTTTTTATTAGTTTATATTAGTTTTTTATCTTCTTTCAAAATTACTTTTAATACAATTATTCAAAAAGAAGAAATTGAATTTAGGACTTTTTGCAAAGTTTTTTGTTTTATGATGGAAATATAGCAGTCTGGCAGATTCTTTTCAGTTATTAGAACAACATTTAATACCATTTTATTTGGAAGTCACTTTATTATTGGCTAACTAAACTATTTCTCTTAGTCTTTCAGCTGTCCTTTAATTTCATTGTAATATAACTTGGATATTGTTTCTCTAGGACAGTGGTGGCTAACCTTTTCAGCACCAAGTGCTGAAATGGGAGTGCATGCATACACACGTGTGCCGGAAACCGGAAACTTAGCTTCCCGGTGCATGCATGCGTGCCGGCCACCTGGTCTTCCGGTTTCTAATGCGCATGCATGCATAAAGACCAACTGGCTAGCACACACATTTGCTCTGGGGAGCTGCTCTTCCAGCTTCCAGCGCTCCCATGTACATGAAAACCAGCTGGCCAGCGCATGCATGTGCTCCAGGGAGTTGCTCTTCCAGTTTCCAGCGCTCCCACGTGCACGAAGACCAGCTGGCCGGCACAACCCAGAAGAGCAATGGGCAACGGCTAGTGTACCCAGAGATATGGCTATGTGTGCCACTTCTGGCAAGCATGGCATAGGTTTGCCATCACATCTCTAGGATATTTATGAGGTGGGATTGCCTTTTTTAATAATGCACTCATAGCTATCAAATCATGAGTAATATTAAAATTAATACCTAAAATCTACTTTATTAAAAACCATCTTGACAGTTAATTACAAAATCATTATTTTAACAAAACAAATCAGTAAGCAAATAAATACAATTTCTTTCTTTCAGAGGCTTCTGCTTGGTTCTTCGCCCAGAATGTTGTTAAATGTTCCATGCATAATGCAATTAACCACCTGAAGTTTGATGATGCAGAGTTGCATGGGGTCCCAGCTTATCCAAACTACTTCTAAAAACTGGTCCCTCTTTGCTGAATTGATACAAATAACAAAAGCACTTAGGCTCAGTGGTACTGAAGGTACTTGCACTTCTCCAAGCCAGCAATCATAAAATGTCAACCATGCCTAAATATATTTGGAGGCTTACAATGGCGCAGTGTTTTCTGTGGTTTATGTG